GAAACAGGACGATAATTAACTTTATATTGACGATTTTCTTTTTTCAATAATGGAATAACATTTGCTAGTTTCCATTGAGATGGAAATTAACCAATTTTGAAGGCTAAATTTATGAAGTTAGTAAAAAAAACGCAAAAACCTTCACGACAAAGATTAATTATTTTATTTCCAATACCGTCATGACCACAGGCTTTGGATTTGTCCAGGTTTCGCATTAGAAAAAGGACTTCCTGAGTTGTAGCAACTATATCTGAAATAAATTTCGAATTCTGAAACGGAACAATGAAAGGAGGAGTGTTATCTGATCCAATCAATTCAGTCTGCGAGATAAAATATTCATTAAATAATTGAGCCTTAAGAACAGGGTCCGATATGGCAACATTATTTTCAATTAATGCTGGAATTGAAGGCTTTTTTGCGCCGTAAATCCGTTTCACGATTGCCCACCACTTCTTATTATTTATAGTAGAATCACTTAAATCTCGATTGACTTTTTCATAGTAGGATTTTTTTCCTTCCCGAATTAAGTAATTAGTTTGATTTCTTTGTGCACGGTAACGCTCCCATGTGTTCAGCGTGGGATGTTTAATATGCTTTTTTAAAAATCGATTACGTTTACGAATTGCTAAACGAATAAGGCCATTCATCCATGGTTTATCATTTGGTCTTATAGTCACAGATTTAAGTGGTATATGTTTCTCGATTATGGAACGAAATTTCCGATACCATTTGCTATATATCACATCAATATCAGTTTCATTTTCCAAATACTGCGACCAGTTAGCATGTTCAAGTTCCTGATTGAGGTTTGTGATATTAACATTGTTAAAATTCCAAACATCCCTTTTAAAACTAGGAGATCGCTGAGGACAATTGTTAATTTCCCCACAAATAATTGAATGATCACAATTCAAAGGAGGACTAATAATGCCTGTATTCGAAAATTCACCCATGCAACAATCAGTTATTAATAAGTCTAATATTGTAGAGCTTCCTTGTGTTACACGAGTTGGCTCAGAGATTAATTGCACAAGATTATTGGATTCCAAAAACCTATGAAGTTGTTTCCCAATCTCTGTACTGTCACTAGGTATTTGTTTATTATAATGTGCATTAAAATCGCCAAGAATGACAATTTTATATTATTAGGCGATAGGCTTATTATATCGAGCATTTTCTGAAAGCTGTCAAAAAAATGAGAACAGGATACGATATTATCGTCTGGCGGCCTATAACATACTCCACAAAGAAAATTACTCCCTGATGCGCTGAATTCAACCCATAAAAACTCAAGCCCAACTATTTCTAGGTTGTGTCTTCGCTTAACCACAAGAGAATCAACTGCGAATAAAGCAACTCCGCCTCCAACTCGTCCTTCTCTATCAAGACGAATAATAGGATTAAAACCAGGAATCTTAAAGTTATCACTGCTAATGTTATTGTTAAGCCATGTTTCCGTTAGTGCAAATATATGGAAATTATAATCTTTCACAATGAAAGACAGTTCATTAAATTTATCTTCATTATTCAAACTTCTACAATTTAAGTGACCAAATTTTAATGACTTAAAAGGTCCGGGGTTCAATTCGACATCGTTAGCAAGAATAGTGTTTATGTAAACCATAAATAAAACAGCTAGTAGCATGCTAAAAATAAAACAACACTGATTCGAGACCGTATGAAAACTCGAAGTTGAAATCCTTAAGCAATTAAATAACCCGATCGCTGCTCTATACGCAATAAGATCAACCAACATTAAATACTACAATAGCAAATGTTTCATTCCTTACCTCATGCCACCGCGGATCAATAGAACAACTGGCTGAAAAGCAATTTGATGGACTGTACAACATAAACATAAATAATTTAGGGGAAATTTAAAAGACTACTAGATACAGCGCTCCAGGGCACTATTGACAACACATTATTATTGTAAAGACGGCTAATAAAGTACCGGATTTCAGTCGAATTACATTAAGTCATACTCCTCAAAATCTGTATGGCGAACTATGTTAAACTTCCTGTCGTCAGATCGTCGTTTCGCAAAAATTCTACCGTCAATTGTCCACGCAGAAGACACGTTCGTACACCCAGTACGAGCAGTGTAAAAAAGCTGCTGATTTTGTCTTGTGAGATCTTCATTGATGGAAAAAGGCGTGTTCCTTAATTTATTCTTTGCTTGCAGTACGTTTAGTTTATATTTGTGCGACTTGAACCTGACAATAATGGCTCTTGATTTACCATCTGACCTAGGTTTTCCCACCCGATGAATTCTATCGATTTGTTCCTCAGAAAAATCTGGTAGCATTAAGGTTTCACGACAGAGTTGGCCAACCTTCAAAGAACAATTCTCATCTGATTCTTCGGGAAAACCAGATACTCTAATGTTATAGCGCCGCGAGTACTGTTCGTTATCGTTAGCTTTAGTGGCAAGTCTAGCCACTTTCTCTTCAAGATTGACAATCACATTTTGCAAAACAACAATCATGACTTAGAAAATGGGTTTTAAAGAGTCTTTGTTTTCTTTTAATTGCTTCGCTTCAATTAGTTCGTCCTCAACTCGAACAATGGTGTCTTTCAAACCTGAAACTTCGACTTGTAAAGGTTGAACATGCTGATCTATGCATGCCTTCAGCGTTTCAGCCACAGCACTTTGAACAATCTTCCTGAATTCTTCAGATTTTAGAAAAGAGCTGACTTCTTCCCTGACGCCAACAGCGACTTCTTGCTCGAATTCTCTCGATTTCGATCGACCGTAGAAATAGGCCTGCTCCGTAGAGGTTGCAGGGCTACTTCTACGGAGCAGGCCTATTTCTACGGAGTACGCTTACTTCTACGGAGCAGGGCTACTTCTACGGAGCAGGCCTATTTCTACGGAGCAGGGCTACTTCTACGGAGCAGGCCTATTTCTACGGAGCAGGCATATTTCTACGGAGCAGGCCTATTTCTACGGAGCAGGCCTACTTCTACGGAGCAGGGCCACTTCTGCGGAGCAGGACTAGTTCTACGGAGCAGGGCTAACTTCTACGGAGCAGGCCTATACTTCTACGGAGCAGGGCTAACTTCTACGGAGCAGGCTCATTTCTACAGAGCAGGGCTACTTGTACGAATCAGGGCTATACTTCTACGGAGCAGGGCTAACTTCTACGGAGCAGGCTAACTTCTATGCGGAGCAGGGCTATTTCTATGAAGAATGTGCGTGCTTTTAAAGTTGTGAAGTCGTGTCCCTTGCGGGCCACCGTACCTTTCATATAGTGACTCGCATGAAATGTTTTTTCTTAGCGCCTGGGGACGAGGCAGGGCTTACTGAAAGTTTTCGCAAATGTCGCGCGCATCTGACTTTGGTGAACTTTTCCAACTTTGTCAGTGTACTTTAAATAGTAATAAAAGTTCTATCCGTATATAAGACCCTTATCCATATTATAATGCTAGGTAGGTGGGTAGGTAAAACTTTATTTTACTACGCTAACCCCTACAGCAAATGTTGATTTCCAAGTAAAATCATGCACTACCACTGCGTAAAATTGGTTAAGATAATCACTGCAATGCAATTGCGGTTAAAGTAAACAGGCAAACGTTTTCAGTTGAAAACTTCGATTTCCATTGTTAAGAATTTGTGCTGACCAGCAAGAAGGTTGTTTGCTTGTTCACTTCCACAAACATAACCAGCAGGAAGTTGATATGAGTTTCCAAACTTGCTGTATGATTGATTAACTTGAGGATTCTTATTAATGCACAGATCTTGGCGATAAATACCAAAGATTGGTCCGCAACCAGAGTTACTGACAATCGCATACGGCTCCTGACCTTGCTTGATGTTGGCAATAAATGGAGCAAGGTTGTCTTTGTTTCGCAGGGAGAATAAAAACGACGAGCTGGAATGCGTATGAATATCACCTCCTAGAACAAAATTAGTTAATATTACAGTTTAATAAAATATTTAATAGCAATTTCTAGACAAGATCAAAGAAATATATAAATGATTTATTTTTTGGATACGATGGAGATGATTTTGATCCAATTTACGTGTAATTCTGGGCCACCAGTTTGTAAGATAAATACACATGAGTTCGAAAATAAATGTCGCCGCCCACTATATTACGCAATATTACTACACTACAGGATTCAAGCTCAGAATTAAAAATGTTTTATGTTTTGCGCATGTGCGATTACATTGCGAGAATGAACTGGTATTTAGCACAGCAGTCTCTTATTTTCGATGATGAATATAATCACTTCGGCCATTCTTCAATCTAAGTTGTTATATAGGTAGGGTGAACACCAAAAGTGATTGGCTGATTTGTGGTCACGTGACTTGCGTGGCAATGGATCGCACCGGGCAACAAGTGAAAAATTGTTGCCGCTCCGACCGGCTACGCATACATAAAGAAAATGGCGGCATAACTAGCATAATTAGAAACTACGATTTTCCAATTTTGTGTTCAAATACAGAATGTAAAAAAGAAGAAAAATACGCAACAGAATATGCTGCTGAAACCGCTTAAGTAGGTTCTTTTAATTTTAAACTCGTTTACACTAGAGTTTTTGTCACGAAATACAATTGTTGTATGATTACAGTGGTGCCTAAATTACTTTGAATTTGTACTCGAGTACAAGTATAAGTAATTAACAATAAAACGACTTGAGTAAAAGTAAAAAATACTGGAGGCAAAACATACTTAAGTAAAAAGTACAAAGTATCCTTTAAAATACTTGAAGTAAAAGTATTATTGCCTGTAGCGTGTAGGGGGGGGGGGGGGGGGAGGGGACTTCTCCAATGGATTGACATATACAAAAGTCACAAAACAGCACACACATTATATGCGTGCACCTAATTATCATTTATAGACCCGGAGCGAGGGGGATTCGGCGGAATATTACCTAAAGTGATATTTAGCCCCGAGGGAAATATCATCACTGAGGGTAATATTTCGACGAATCCCCCGAGAGGAGGGTCTATAAAAGATATATTATACCGAAAGTTAAAAAATTTGCTGACTATTAGCTAAGCAAATACAATTTTTAATTTAAAGTTTGTTCGTTCACTGCAACCAGGTATATCAATCATGTTTCGCTCGCTACTCTGATTTAAATAAATGATTACAAAGCCCAGTCGAATTGTAATCAAAGTGATCCAACGTTTCGACACTCCAGTCTAGTGTCTTCATCAGGGGTGATCTAAAATTGCAATCGTGGCTTCTTAAATACCAAAGGGATGACGTCACCTGCCAATGAGATGCATATATTCCTCTGGCAAATAGGCACCGTCATCCCTATTCAAAGCATGATTACTCATATTTATATGCCACGTTTCTAGGCAAAGTCTTTGACCATAGCGATTGTTTGTGGTAATTACTTTAGAGTTTTCCCACGCACTCTCGTGTTTGGTGTAACATACATGTTCGGCTAAAGCTGATTTTCCCTTGTCTAAGGTTGAAACTGCCTTTTGATGTTGTTTTAGCCGTATACCAAACTGGCGTTTAGACTGACCCAAATACTCTTTCTCGCAGTCACCGCATGGTATGGAATATACAGCATGAGTTTTCTGATTTGTTTTAACAGGGTCTTTTGGCTTTGCGCAAATATGGCCTAAAGTCAAATAGGGTTTTAACAGCCTCGTATCCAGGCGCAAATAACGTACTGAAAATAGCAACACTACAGTGTTTTTATATAGATCAGTGGCTAAGATGAGCGAGCGCGCGGGGGTGCTAGGTCACGACAGGGCGCTATAAAACACGGGCGGTGAAACGGAGATAGCGCCCCTGATCTTTGTGAGATCCCCCGTATACATTAATTTATAATGTCAATAAAAATGGAATTGGAATGTTTATGCAAAAAAGAGCTGAAAAAACTAAAGTAAAAAATGTTTTCTGCACATTCCTAAACAACTTGATGGTTTGAAGACATTGTTGGATTCATTTTCTGTATATCTAATGAAGGAAAAAGGATTTTAAAGATTCATCTGAGCGAAATAAAAAATTGAAAAGGAATCGAGCTGATCGAATGTGGGCATATTCCAAATACGAAAATTTTGGTATGAAATGGGATATTTTACTTCATAATGCGAAGGTAGGATAAACATTTTCACAGTAAGAATATTCCGACATTGCTTGGCTACTATTTTTCAATAATCATACAGCCCAAAATTGACCATGCATGCATTTAAAACAACTACAATTTGATAAAAACAACTAAAATTTGCTCGACAATTTGAAAACTTAAATATATAACCGCTTTTGTGTTAACCAGCCGGCATGCTCGGAATCCATTGAAATTTCATTGTAAAATGTTTTTTTACTAATTGATTTGATTTCTATTATTGGTATAACTGCCGCCGACACTCAAAAATATTCAGTGTGAATCTTTTTTCGTGCGACTGCAGTCGTTGACATGATACACATGCAGTGACAGTGTTACGGAAAACTATAAAGGCTGCAAGATATCTCCGTTTTATGAAAAGAGCTCAAAAAAGCCCCGTTCAATTTTACTTGAGACATAAAGCCAAGTTAAATGTCTATAGTTTGGTGTGTTCAAATTTATCTCAACCTATCTCAACGAGGAGAAAACACTATTTTAAATACGTCCGCGGTTTAAATTTTGCAAATATTTTCGTCGCTCGAGTGAAATTTTTGCCCTGATATTTTCTTTCAACGAGTGTTCAGTAACAAACAACACAAGGTATTATAACTCATTACATAATATTTCAAATTTTAATTAACGAAACATAATTAAAACGACGTAATTGACATAATTTCAAAGAACTTATTGAAACATAATTACTTAGCATTCAAATCCTTTGTTTTCTCGTTTGCTTGTTTACATTTTTTTTGTTGCCATCTTGTACGCGATTTTCTGATTTTTTTAGAGAAAGCGCGCTCGCGCCAATCCTAATGTGCATCACACGTAGCACGGTCATTTATTAGCGCGTTTCCCCGGCCGTGTTTTATAGCGCCCTGCATGGTCAGGGTATGACGGGATTCCGCAGCGCCTGGCAGAAAATGTAAATATGACTCTTCAGAAATACGATATCTGAAGAGTCGAACCATTCAGCTTTTTACTCGTGCCTTTTCAATTATTTTTGGCGTTTTTGGTGCTGAATATTATATCAAGGAATTATCAAGAAATGAGTGTTAGAGGTGAGTGTTTGTATTGGTTTGCCTTGAGATTTCATTATTCTCTGTATATTATGTGTGCATCATTGTATAAATCTTGGTCAAGATGACTACAAGAAATAGGTTTCATATTTTAAAAGAATTTGTAAGCTCCCCACAAAAGGAGAAAGAATAATTTCAACCAGGGAAGCACCTTTAATAATTTAACACCAGAATCAAAAGCCCATGTCGAGTTCCAGCCAAAGAGATTTGCTGATCAAATGTCTTTATACTATACAATTCTAAAAGTTGTAAATACTTAGTTTATTTTCAGCAAACAATCACTGAATTGATACAGAACCCAGTAGTGCTGTCACTACTATGACTACTGCTTGATACATGTATATTAAATTTGCCATGAAGTGATTTGAATATTTTTGTTTTTCAGTGTATTGTGTGCAGTTTGACATTTGTCACTGATGTTCTTGAATTCCAAAAGATTTTCAACTACATGTGATATGAATATAGATATAATATTATATTTGCAACCCATGAAATGTATATTTTCTCTGTAGCTGGTACAGTTCAACATCGCACAATTTGATTGAGTAAAAGACTTTCTGAGGGTGCCTCTGGCAGCCACCTTATGGAGGGTGAGTTAGAGGCTAATCCCAAGCCACCCGTCAACATTCCCTCTATAGAAAACTGGAGTTCCCGGAGAAAACCCACAACTTTTGTCAGAGTGTTGACAGCATGACTCTTTTCACATTTAAGTGTCGTTGAAGTGGTGAGAATTGAACCAACAATCTCAGATGTAAAAAGTCCTCGCTCTGACAATTGCACTACCAAAGTCGGTGGCACAATCAGCACACCACCATAGCCCCAGTAGGGTGCAGTGGAACTTGATGGGCTAAGCTGTTAATTTGTGCCAATGTACCTAGCTTGTTGAGAAGTTCAGCTGTGGGTGAGTGCATGGGTCTATAAATAAAAACCCACAAGAGTATTAAATTTGCATAAATATTGCTATAGCTCTAGATTCCTTTGAATGTAAATACTAGTAGTTTATGTTATGAGCAAAATAAATAAAATTCTCAAGACTTTAAATGTTACAGGGATTGTTGTTTGCATAGTGCATGGGTCTATAAATAAAAACCCACAAGAGTATTAAATTTGCATAAATATTGCTATAGCTCTAGATTCCTTTGAATGTAAATACTAGTAGTTTATGTTATGAGCAAAATAAATAAAATTCTCAAGACTTTAAATGTTACAGGGGTTGTTGTTTGCATAGCATGTTGATGAGGTATATCTCATTCAGTCAAGTTGTGTAAAACATATGCCCTTTCTAACTTGGCTGAACCAATGACCATATACAGGATTTGGGAGCAAGCACAGAAAAAACTGGGAAAGGTCTTATTGTGTTTACATTACAAACCTACACTTGTCCAAGCACTTTACCTACAGTGACCTGAAATGATTTCAGCTGAAGAATTTGGGGTGGCTTACCATGTAGTATACACATGTTTGGATTGTTTAATCCCGAGACCAATTTCCATGACAACAGGGTAAATCATGTGTTAAGTGTGTTTATGGTACATGTGTAGTTGTATTTTTGTGTGTGTATATGTAATGTGTGTATGTTTAATGTTGACACATATTTTCAGTGAGACCATCAGATGATGTTTGCCACATATTTTTCAAATATCATTGATTATTAACATGCATCTGAAATCAGCCCAACAAATTGCAATACGCAACCATACCTTTAAATTGTCCAGTTTGTTAGTCCAGTATTTGTAGTTGAATCGTCACCAAGGCTGGCATTTAATTATATCGTAGAAGAGAAGACGTATTCGAGGCTGTGTTGCGTGTTTAAATAAATATATATACTGTGTTAATGAGCAATTT